GCTCTTACAGAGAGGCTATTTCAAGTCTACAGAAATAAAAATCAGTCAAAACTGTGAATCCTTTTGGTTCAGAAATAAGTCTGCTAAATGTCATGCTATTCAAAGAATAAGTAGAGTATCTATAAACCTATCATTTACGTTAGAATTTTTATATTATCTGTGGTAACCTGAGAGAGGTATTACACAGATAAGTAAAATTCACAAATAACCTAAAACTTTTTGAGCCCTATATTATCATTTTCTTTCTTAACTTAAGACATGAGAATTTCATTTTTTAAAGTACATGCTTAAAAGTACATTTTTTAAAGTCCATGGTTATGGACTCCAGGTGTGGCACAGCACCAGGCTGCAAACCACAAGGTCAGCAGTTCAAACCCATCAGCTGCTCCTTGGAACTCCTATACAGTGTCGCTATGAGTCAGAACTGACTCTACGGCACTTCACAACAACCTTGATTATCAAGAATCACACCAGGAATGCAGCATCCACTCTATGTGTGGATTGTTTTAAAGTTCAGAAGCATTATTTTGCACTAAACATCATTAGTCTTTCATCCAATCCAGTTTGTAGCTGGAGCAACCATTAGCCAAATGCTGCAGTACTGTACGGATTATATTTTGTGGTTACAGAGCTGTTTTCTTCCATGCAAACCTGTCATATGCAGTACTCAAACTGGCACCCATCTTTTCATGAACTGAATAACTTTGACTTCTTAACCACATTCATCTTTTGGTTAACCATAAGGGAAGGTGATAATGTTTTTAGGTGGTCTTGTTTCCTACTCTTAGTGGCCCTGTGTAGAGTTTGAGAGGAGTGGGCTGGTGGGCTTGAACTTCTGACCTTGTGGTTAGCGGTCTTGTGCTTATCCTACAGTGCCACATAAGGTGATAATAAGCAATAAGAGACCCAACAGAGTATGGCCTTTAGGTACCAAGGGATGAATAAGAAGGCACAAAGTGGAGCTGACCCACAGATAGGTTAGCCCAATGATAACATCCAAAGATGCTGCTGCCAACTGTTAGTAACCCCTCTACTTAGAACTACAGTGACTAAGTGTGGGTTCCATTTCCTCTGTGATGAATTGAGCTGGCTTCTGTTTAACCTCAGCAGCAATGAGTATAATGTTGCCTTCAGGTTCTGGACTACACTTGTTACTACCATAAGGCCGTAGAGCTCACCTATCAATAGGTTTGAATGATTTCATTTTCCAGGGTCAAATCATAGAAAGCCAGTGTTGGAAAGAGTCTTACTTTTATAGATGATGTATGGAAAGGTTAAGGAGCCCTGGTAGCATACTGGGTTATGAGTTGGGCTGCTTACCACATGGTCAGCAGTTCGAATCTACCAGGAGAAAGATGCTTTCTGCTTTGGTAAAGATTTATAGCCTCGGAAACCCTATACAGGGTCTCTGTGAGTTGGAACTGACTTGACAACACACAACCACCACCACCACCATGGAAACACTAAGTATAGACAGTCTGCTCACACAAAGGGAAACTGCAGAAGCTCGGGGGAAAACGATGTAACTTTTAGTCACCAAAAACCATTGGCTCACACTGGCTGTCTCCAAGGCCCTCCCACTCACATTTCTTTCTTATTACATTGACTTGCCCTTCTTATGAGCAGACAACAGGAAGCCACCATTCCTCATTTTTGCACATGCTGTCTTTAAGTCCCTGGTAACTTTCCATGGCTTATAATGGAGAACACATGGAGATTTAGCTCTTCCTTTGATCCTGCTTAGACAATAAACCAATTTTTTCTTTAAACACAAAATTAAGAAATTGATTTATTCCCAGCCAAGCCCAGCAGCTTAGTAAAAGCTCTACACTTCCTAGTGTCTCTCTCTCTGGATTGTTATCTCCAGCACAAAGATTCCAAATGGTTGTGGATCAAAAGGTGGCAGGTGGGTTGAAGTAAAGGGAAGGAAAGCAATGATGAATTAGAATGATTAGAAGAGGTCAGCCCAGAAATTTAACTGGTAATAGGTTCTTGATCATAGAATCTGATGTTTTATTTCCTGGAGTTGCTTCTTATTACTACGTGTTGTTGGGTGAGGGAGAGAGGGTAGTGTTTAGGGGTAAAATGAGAAGGAGAAAATAGCAAGGGAGAAAATTGCAGTTCTTCATAGAAAAGCAGAAAAGCTACAAACTCTCATAATTCTACTTGTTTTCTTAAGTGCAGTGTTTATAATAGACCGAAAGAGAATTTTGTGAGTTCATATGTATGTGAACAATGTTTGTAAAAAAGGATATGTATAAGTCATTATGGACTATTGTATAAACTTTAGATGTAAAATATGCAAGCATTTTAAAAATCATTGCATAGGGCGATGGACACTTATGGAAATCTAAGCCTTTCATGTCTTTGTTCCAAAATAATAGCGTTCCAGGGTCAACATCTGATTTCCTTAGTATATTCCACTGTAAAAGCAAAAGGTTTGGGGTTTTTGTTGGTTTGTTCTCTGGCATTGTAATTTATAATGATATGTATGGATTACTCTGAAATAGCTGTTGCATGTGTCTTGGTATTGTTTACCCACATGGAGTCATCAGAATCTGTTTCACACTTTGCATCATGAAAAATCAAAAAGAATTTCCTAGTGAGAAGAAAAACTCACATAATGCGCCTTGCCTGTTGGGTAACTCTCAGGCTTGTACCACTGACGGGTTTGGGGAAGGCTGAGCAATTGGGATGTGAACATCAGAATTTTTGTCTCTCACTTAAATAGTGGTGCTGGATAACTTTTCTCCTGGAAAGGGAGGGAGCACATATTTCTGTCAAGTTCTTCTTATGTGGACTTGATACTTTCTAAAAGAAACCAGGAATCACAGCTCTGAGCCACCTTCCTTCATGACTGCTCTCCACCAGTGGTCTTCAAAGAATTCTCCACATCCTGTATCTCTGTGGTAAATGGAATGCTTCCAGAACCTAGAGTGCTACTTGTTTGGATTTGTAGCCCTAATGAAGTGCTAAGTTTGCTCTTGACTGCACAGATGCATCAGAAGACATAAAGGGGGAAGAAGGGAGGGGGCTGCCTTGCTGGAGACGTTCCATCATGCCTTTTCCATCAGCTGAGAGAAAGACACCAGAAACCAGTGCAAAAAATAACATCCTCTCTTCTTGCCAGATGGGGTCAACCATGTGAAAATGGAAGAGATTACCCAAGCCTCCTTTGCCAAAAATACGTATTGTTCCCAGCTGTAAGCTTGTAAAACCCAATATGTGTTTTAGCATGAAACAATAAAACCACTTTATTTTCATTTAATAGAGCTGTCCCACAGGCCTGGTTTTTTCAGCAGCTCACTTGGAGAAGGGAGTACTTTATCACAGATTAAATGTCAATATTGGGTATTTCATTTTCCCCAAAGGACTTTAGCTCCCTGCAACTGCTATGGACTATGCATATGGGAAGACTGGAAGGACGGGTCACTTTGTCAGATGTGGGAATTGCTCAGATTCAGAGGGAGCCGGGGTTAAGTGGCTGTTCCTCTCAACCCTGACCAGGCTGGGTTCACCTCCATAGAGCACACTCCCATTTGTACAACCACATGGGCTCAAGATCATCTCTTGGTCAAAAGCCAGTGTGTAGAGATTAGGAGCACAGTGTCAAGCACCTGTCACTTACTAGCTGTGTAGCTTTGGGCAAGTTACTTAACCTCTCTGTAGCTCAAGCTGCTTTTCTGCAAAAATAGGACTATACTAGCACTTCCCTGTGAGATGTTAAGGTTGAAATGTCTTAAAATATATAGCGCACTTTAAACAGTGCCTGGCATGTATAAGTGCTCAATAAAATTAGTATTACCACCTTCACAATTTTGGCCACATTCACCCAGCACCACTGTTATTATTTATATAACACTTTAAATTAACTTAAAATTGAATTAACAGCATTTTAATCTAAAATTTATCCTTAAAAAAGTCATACCACAACTTTAAACACTAATGCAATATGCTGTGAATATAACTTATATAATATAACTCTAAAGTAGTAATCAGACTTAATAAGAATTGAGTCTTTACTACTTGCTACATTCCTAGGTACACTCAGTTTGAGTCCACACAAAGGTTCCTCGAAAGAAAGGCCTGGCTGTCTACCTCAGAAAAATCAACCATTGAAAACTCTATGGAGCACAGTTGTATTCTAACACACATGGGGTTACCATAAGTCATTGTCAACTCAAGGACAACTGGTTGGAGTTTTTTTGTTGTTTTATTTACTACTGAGCAGGCACTATGCTAAGTATCCTTGCTCATTAGAATCTTCACAACCCTCTGAGGTCAGTACTATTATTATCCTCACCCCCATTTTATAGATGAGAAAACTGAGGTGCAGAAAAGCTAGCAAGTTTTCCTACATTTACACATTTAGTAAATGGAAAGGGCAGGATTGGTAAATGGGAAAAGCAGTTGAGGCTTCAGAATTCAATCTTTTCACCTCTTTGCTGTGCTGTGTACCTACCTTAATGAAAACAAGAGTATTCCATTCACATGGTAAATGCAGTTGCCTACCCAAGACTCTGAACCTAGGTCCTGAAGAAAATCTACAAGGTGTTCAGGATTATTACCAAGCTGAGACTTTCACTTTTATGCCATCAGAACTAAAGGAGGCAGGTAGAAGGGGTGACCGTCCCTAGGTATTTCTACAACATTTAGTGCCCAGTCCAGGGACTAAAACCAACAGCTCCTGTCCCATCACAGGTATTTTGGGAAACAGGGCACAGTGTAAGAAAACCACATAACAATTCTTTCTCATGAAAGGATTGCATACAACTCACCTCTAGAAATTTCCTTATATGATTGGACTGGAACATCAAATACAGACAAAGTTCAAGACTCTTCAACAGGGGCATGTGTGGAAGGAGAACAACAATGGAGACCAGAACAGGGAAATCATTTATTTTAACACTTTCTGTAAGAACAGGAAGAAGAAAATTCTAAGGCCTTGGAAGGAAGGTGCAGAGAGAGAGGAGGTGACAGGGTGAGGTTATGTTGGTCTGTCATACCAGGGCATCCTTAGTTGAAGGAACTTCCTGGATTCTGTAGAATTGAGAGGTCCTCATCTTGAGTTCCCGGGCCACCTGGCAGATGGAAAAAGGCCAGCAGCAGTGTACCGCCAGCCAGTCCTCACACAGTGTACCCTAGGGTGAGACACCCTGGTTTCTGATCTGTCCTGATCACCAACTCATTTCCATCACCCAGGAATCTGTGCACTCATCCTGCCCACTCTGCCAACATCCACCAACACCCCTAAGTCAGAACCCAAGAACACAGCTCCAAGTGGGAAACATCTCAATTACTAACCAACGCCTGCAATTCAGAGACATGCCCTTAGGACTTTTGATATGGGGTTAATATTTGAAACCACTGATTTCTCTGTCAACACCTTTTTTGATCTCTTCTAGAACCTAGTTTTAATCATTCTTTTATTTTATTTGGAGTAGGTAATAAGAGTACATAGTGTATCAACCATATTTTCTAGCTTCTTTAGTATGATTCTTTAACAGTCACTCCAAGTAACCCTTCTCCACCCATGGCTGCTATACCTATACAGCATTCCCTTGGTTTCCCCTTTGATAAAGGCCCCAAGGCATGAGTTACAAATATTACTGACCAATAAAGCTCCCACATGCTCTGACTTCTCTCTGTGAGGGTTCCTGAGAAAACCACAATAAAGGTGCTTGTCCACAGTCACACTTCTCCTCTGCCTGTGGTCACCCCCTGCGCTCCCCTTGTAGCACTGCCAAGCAAGCTGTGAACATCAGGGACTGAGAAGAATAAATCTTTAAATACTTCCAGCTGTTTCCTCTTGATTCAACCTTACCATACCTCAAACATTACTAGCATATCAAGTTCTAAAAACATATGCTCCGAAATTCTAAAAGGAAAAAAGGATATGAAGTAAATGGTAAATTCCCCTTCCACAGACTTCGTGACCACTTAGTTACCTGCCCCAGGGCAATTGTTGTTAGTATTGTCCAACGTATCCTTCCAGATATAGCCTACATCTACACAAATACATAAGTAGTCTTCTAACATAAATTGTTGCATTCTTCTGTGCCTTGTTTTTGCTTTTGTTTTTGTTTTTTACTTAGAAACATATCTTACTCTAAAGCAGAGGTGGGGAACATCCGGCCCCCCAGGCCATATGTTATTGTTCGGTGCCATCGAGTCGATACCGACCCATAGCGACTTTATGCACAGCAGAATGAAACACTGCCTGATCCTGGGCCAACCTCACTACTGTTGCCACGCTTGAGTCCATCAATGGTGCCACTTGGCCAATCCATCTCATTGGGGGTCTTCCTCTTTTTCTCTGACCCTCCACCTTACCAAACATGATATCCTTCTACAGTGACTGCTCCTTCCTGAGAATATGTCCAAGTATGAGAGATGAAGTTTGGCCATCTTGGTCTCTAAGGAGCACTCTGGCTGCACTTCTTCCAAAATGGATCTATTGGTTCTTTTGGCAGCCCATGGCACTTTTAGTATTCTCCTCCAACACCACAATTCAAAGGCATCAATTCTTCTACGATCTTCCTTATTCACTGTCCAGCTTTTGCCTCCATATGAGGTTATTGAAAATACCATGGCTTGGGTCAGGCACACCTTAGTCCTCACGCTGACATCTTTGCTCTTCAACACTTCGAAAAGATCTTGTGCAACAGATTTGCCTAATGCAATACGTCATTTGATTTCTTAACTGCTTGCTTCCATGAGTATCGCTAGTTTATCCAAGAAGAATGAAGTCCTTGACAACTTCAATCTTTTCTTGGTTGGTAAGAATGTTGTTTATTGGTCCAGTGGTGAGGATTTTTGTTTTCTTTACATTGAGATGCAATCGATACTGAAGGCTGTGCTCTTTGATCTTCATCAGTACGTATTTTAAGTCCTCTTTACTTTCAGCAAGCAAGGTTGAATCGTCTGCATATAGCAGGTTGTTAATGAGTCTTCCTCCAATCCTGATGCCACGTTTTTCTTCATATAACCCAGCTTCTTGGATTATTTGCTCAGCATATAGGTTGAGTAAGTATGGTGGAAGAATACAGCCCTGTTGCACACCTTTCTTAATTTTAAAACATTCAGTGTTCCCATGTTCTGTTAGAACAACTGCTTCTTGGTCCAGGTACAGATTCCTCATGAGCACAGTTAAGTGTTCCGGAATACTCATACTTCACAGTTTGTTCATAGCTTGTCATGATCCACACAACGCAAAGGCCAGGCTGTATAAGGCCCACGAAATCATGTGGTCTGGCCCTGCCAAGGCAACCACAGTTCCACCCATCATATTGTTGTTGTTAATTACTGTCAAATCAGTTCCAACTCATAGTGATCCTGTATAGGGTTCCCAAGGAGCAGTTGGTGGGTTTGAACCACCAACCTTGAGGTCAAGTACTTATCCTAGCACTCTTAGTCCACACCAGGACTCCAGCCATCACATTGTTGTTAAGTGCCATTGAGTCAGTTCTGGTTCATAACGACCCTATATAGGGTTTCTGAGGAGCAGTTGGTGGGTCTGAACTGCCAACCTTGTGGTTCACAGTCCAGTTCTGACCCCCAGTGCCATACCAGAAGTCTAAGCCACCAAACATTGTTGGCTTACAGTGGAATCATAACTGTTATTAAGTGCTGTTGAGTTGGTTCCAACGCATAGCAACTCTGTATAGGGTTTCCCAGGAACAGCAGGTGAGCTTGAACTGCCAATCTTGCAGTTCAAACCGAATTTGCAGTCCAGCACATTAACCCACAGCGCCACACATTAGAAGTGAGGTAATTACATATTTGGAGTCCTGGTGTGGTGATGTGGGATAATGCATTGGATCGCAATGTCAATTTGAACTACAAGATCGGCAGTTCAAACTCACTAGTTGCTCCTCAGAAACTGTATACAGGGTCACTATGAGTCGGAACCAACTTGATGGCACTTAACAACAACAACAATTAAGCATTTCACCAAAGATAGCAGGATAATTTTCAAGTTGATGATTTTGTATGTCCCTTGAATGATATTATAAATTTTGGCAGAAAAAAGATTCCCCACCCCTGCCCTAAAGCATAGATGAGAAGATAAGGGGACATGGAAACTAGAATATGTGCTGAAAACAACAACCAGAACACAAAGGAAATGTTGACAAATCATGAAAAATGTAGTTAGTGTCACTGAATAATTTGTGTAGAAACTGCCAAATGGGAACCTAATTTGCTGTGTAAACTTTCACGTGTCTATTTCTAATAAACTAATTTTTTTTAAATAAATTTAATCTTAGGGCTCATTCTATATCAGTGGATAAAAATGGACCTTTTTATTTAACTTAAATAAAGTTCAGCTTTATTTAAGTTAAATAAAATCTTAATATGCATGACCAGTCTCTCCCTAATCTCACTGTACCTTAATCTAAACTATGCTGAAAATTGACTTTCTGGATCTTTGAGGGGCTCCCAGGGGCACCCAAAGTGAATGCTGCATATATTACAGAGGGCATATTTGAAATCAGATCATCCCAAATTTATCCTCCAAATTTGATGGAATTCTGTTAGCTTCTTTTGATGTAATAAGAGACAGAGTATCAGAAGAGTAATTGTATTTCTATAGATTGGAGTCCTGGTGTGGCACTGTGGGTTAATGCACCAGACTGCAAAGCCATTTGAACTGCAAGGTCGTGGTTCAAGCTCACCACCACAACCCTATACAGGGTCGCTATGGGTCTGAACTGACTCAACAGCTCTTAACAATAACAACATAGATAAAAGAGATTGTGTGTTGGTTTAAGGGGTAAGACTAATAAAGGCTACATCCTCCTGTTACTTTTCCAACTGTGGTTCAGAGAGCACAAATTGGCTAACTATCTGCATCATAATAACCCACCACCCATCCCCCTTGGAAACACCCTTCACAATATGACATGTTAGTTTACATGTATTTCCTGGTAATTAACTTAACTAGAAATATCTGCCATTTCTTTTCCTAGTCTACCACTAGTGTATGGTATTTTTAAGCTTCCTTTTTGGGAAAATCACAGGTGTTGAAGGCATCCAGGTCCTTGTGTACATCCAGGTCCACATATACCTTCAAAATACTTACCCGTATTTTATGTCTCTCTCTGGTGCCAATTCTTAGTGCAAAAGAGGACCCAGGTAACAATGGCCAACAAAGACACTCTTCATAATGCCTGGCGATGTCACACTCAAGACATATCGGACAGAACAGACCACAAAAACCTGTCAATAGTCAAATAAAAGAAAGCCAAGATTCTCATGTATCCTTGGAGTAGCTCCTCATCACAAAAAGCACTTACACTCCTGTACCATCAATTTGATGCTACATTGTCTCCCTGCAATCAGGGAGTGAATAACCAATTCTCGAAACTCAGTGTATGAAAATTGCCATAACAGAGCCAGTCAAAATTGTCTTCTTTTGTCAAACACTGGCAAAGCTGAAACTGATACAATTTGTTAGCACTGACGATGGTAATTGTATTTTCCTGTCAAGAGAAAAGCATTAAATTTTTACAGTGGAATCATAACTGTTGCTTCTAGTACATTAATCTAATTTCAATATTTAAAATAGGCACAGTATATATGATACTTTGAATAACAGACATCTTTTTCTGTAAGTGTGATTGAAAGCTCTTTTATGGTACACTGACTCTGCCTGCTATTCTTTATCAGAACTTTATCCTATTTCTCAGTCCAGAAGGTTAGTCTAATTTTTGCTAGCTTCATGAAACCACTGACATCTGCCAGTTTTAATCTGCAAACTATTAGGAACTTGGCTCCTTGAACATCAACTGAAGACAGTTTGTCATTGATTCATTCATTCATCTTTAACTACAGATAGTTTCTTACATGTTATATTTGAACCATGTAATGCAGCAGTTCTGATCTAAATATGTTTTGGGTCATAGGTCCTTTGGAGAATACGATGATTGCTATGAACCCATTTCATAGGGAGGA